GGGAGGGGGAAGGGGTTTGGCCAACCTGTTCTCACTGTTACGTTTAACCCAACAGACGGCGGTGGGTCTGGGGGAAGCAGCCAGAGGGTGTGGGGAGCCAGGGTCCAAGGCGGCCTTTGTCCTTGGCTTCCTCCACCCCACTCACATTTTCAAGTCACGACAGCGTGATGCCTCCCCCAGCCATATGAAGCGGCTGCATATTTCTGTGGAAATGAGGGGCTGCCCCACCATTTCGAAATGGAAACCCTCCCACTCCCTCTAAGGCAGTTGTAGACTTCCTGTTAGAAACCTGTTTGTAATCTATCTGCCTGGGCGAGGGGACAGCTGGATAACTGCCCCCCCTTTGCTGGAGCAGAGCGCCATCCTGCCAGCATCTTCCAGCAGGCATCGCTTTTGCTAAGCCCTCCGTCAGCGCTTCTGGGCCGGGTAGGACCGCCCCCCCCCTTTCCGAGCCTACCAAAGCGATCTCCCAACCGGATTCTCTGGGGTTGGAGCATCACTTACTCATCGTGTTACTCCGCAGACAAGCAACTTGCATGTGAGCAGCTCCCTGGAAGAAAAACGTGTAAATTCACCCCGTACGTGGGAGTGTGGAACAGCGCAGCAAATTTCTGCTTGGCGGGATCCTCCTTGGCTTTTCAGTGTTCTAGATTTTTAGGCCTGGCTAAGGGAAGACACAGAGATTTAATCCTCAGACCTTTGTGATCGGCCTCTGTTCGGGTCCTGCATATTCGTTGCCCAAAGCTACAATATCCATGTTTCCTTTTTCTCACGGGGTTTCTGTGGGTTCTACTAACGCAGGTCTAAGACGGAAGCCTTTTGTTCCTCTGGGTTTCCAAAGATGCCACACGGGAAGCAGCGGGCGCAGCTCCTGCGCGAGATGCCCGTCTTTTGCCCTCCTCTTTTGATCTGTCTCATGCCGCTAGATTGCCCAGGTGCTGCCTCCTTGCCTGGAAGTAGGGAGCCACCCTCGCTGCTCAAGGACGTTGCTGTGCCAGCATGAGGAACTAAGGGTTGCCCTCCTTCTTGGGCCCACAGTCCAGGTGCCTCAAGGCATTTCCTTCTACCTGCTAAGCAACCGCTGGGGAGAAGATTTCAGAAGTTAGAGGGGGGCGGCTTGTACAGAATCATGGAAACTAGAAAGAGAAAAGGTGTCCCGGAATACAGGTATTACGAAATTATGCTTTTTCAGTTTGAGCCCCCCAGACTCGGCATCCAAGCAAGATGCTTCTTTCATCTGGTTTTTTATTTCTGTGCTGCCCTGTCCTGCTCTTGATTTGTTTAGAAATAATCCTGGATTTGTCAGGTCAGATTTTCAAAACTGCGTGAATATTCGGCATTGGACGACTGTGTCTGTCCCCCCTCCACTCCAGAAGGCCCGTCCGCCAGGAGAGAAGATCGTCTCTGGCACAGTCCGGCCTCCCCAGAGGCTCCAGCTGAGTTTTGGCCAAAGGCCGGCGCCAGACAGCTATGCAGAGGAGGAGGAGAGGCTCTTGATCCCTTCAGCTGGGCTCCGCTGTTTCAGGAGGTTGTGGCGGTGGGAAGAGTTGAGGTGTGCAACGGTCGCCCTCGCCCACTGCAAATCCCCAACAGCCCCCTGAAGGTTTCAACGCCAGTCGCGGACTCCGTAGGAAGACGCAGTTGTGCGTTTGGGGGCCGAGGCCAGGGGTGGTTCTCCTTCGGACCCTTCGGTGAGGCGCAGAAGAGGAATCGTGCCGATTCTTGATTTTGCAGGGTATAATTTTCTGCAGTTGGAGGGGGCGTTGCCCAGAGGCCTCCCTTTCTGAGCACACCAGGCAGGGCTTCAGGGCACAGGGCAGGGGCTGCAGCTGAGCCCCAGGGAGGCGTTGTGAGTCGCAAAACGGTTGATCTGCTCCCCTGCAGAGGAAGCGTGAGAATGCGTTGCCCCCTCCCCACCTTACAGGTAACCCTCGACTCCAGCCATGCGGAGCGTGGGATGCGGTGCAAGCCTGAAGCACGGGGCCTCTCGGTCCCCCATGATCTCTCACGCACACACTCCCGCCCCTCCCAGTTAGCCCTTCCCCATTTATTCTGCGGTAGCCAAATCACCCCGTCCTAGGCCGTGAAGCCTGGCAGGCCGTAGTAAGACAGGCTAGCTCTCCTGTGCTTGAGCCGGTCTCCGCTGGCAGAGAAGGCACTTTTCAGCCCTCTGGAGTGAGATCTGAGGATGGATCCTCTGGACCGGCAGTGGGCTTCCTCGGAAAGCCTGTTCTTTCCTTCGGGGCCCAGGATTAGATTTGTGCAAGGCTGCCTCTGAAATTGGGGGGGCGGCAAAGCCACCTCTTCCCTTCCCACAGGGGTGGTCTGCAGAGGGCCTCGTCAAGCTCAGGGCTCCTGCAGCAGCCCCAGCGCCCTCCGTGCAGCAGGTCCCTCCATCCGCCCACCCCGCCAGCCGTTCTCTCCCCAGGAGGAGGGCCCCTCTTCCCATGGCTTGTGAAAGCCTTCAGGGCTGCTGCCAACTTGACCCCCCTGGGTTGTCCTCTCTCCAAGATCAGGGAGGTTCAGCTTCTTCTGCAGAGAGGTGGCCCTTTGCTGGCCCTGGGCTCTGCTCTGCTCCGCTTGATAAACTGGGTTTGGGGAGCCCACTCAGACAGGAGGCCCTGGGAGAAGAGGGAGGCTTGGGCTGTCTTCTAATGGGGCTGATCTTTAGCCTCCCCCCCACCGCCAAAAATACAGTATTTTTCTGGGACTGCTTCATGGAGTCCAAGATGCCACCCAAGAGGGAGGCTTGGGCTGTCTTCTAATGGGGCTGATCTTTAGCCTCCCCCCCACCGCCAAAAATACAGTATTTTTCTGGGACTGCTTCATGGAGTCCAAGATGCCACCCGTTTGCTCATCAGCTGTATTGGGACGGGGGGCATCTTCTGAGCAGGAAGCATTTTCCCGTGCATTTCAGCTGACATCTTTAGACGCAGGAACAGCCCACAGGCCTCAGGAAGGATGCCTAG